ATATTTTCTGATATCTTTGAGTTCGATGCTAAGCTTACATGAAAAGATCCATTTGTGTTATTTTCATTTCATAGGGAAAAAAAAAATACATATTAAGATGGAAAAAATGGCCAAGTGTGTAAATGCAATTCGCATCACTATTTTCTGGAAAAGGGAATGAAGAAATCATGCATAAACTTACCGCTAATCAGTGCTGCAAAATCAAGCATACACTTAAACAAAAGCTTACCACCTTTGGACATTCTTCAATTGATAAACTTGTTTTCTTTTTTTCTGTTTACTTTTTTCTTATTTTTTTCTCTATACTTTTTCCTCAATAGGCTAAACCAATTAATATGTGCATCTGCTAATCAATGCTGTAAAATCAAGTATACAGTTAAACAAAATGCTTACCAGTCTTCGACATTCTTCAAGATCACCAAGCAAATGAGAACATTTTCTCTTTTTTCTCTATACTTTTTTCTTCAATATACACCTCATCCTAACTCCATATCCAGAACCGGCCTCAAGCACAAGCAAGGGAAGCTTGTGCTTATTTTTTAGCCGAAATATTTGTACAAAAGTTGCAAATAGTCGAGCGGCATGGGCCATTTTTCATGGAGAGAAGGTAGTTGGTTTGTGTCCATTGTCTCTAACTTTTACAAAAAAATAATAATTTCTTTTAAATTTGTAATTTAGTAGGCCTAAAAAAATAGGATCTTGAAAATATGAGGGCTGGTACAGCCTACTACCCTTACCCCTTCTCCTACCTATTCCTAATCCATTCACTAAAAATCATTTAGTAGTTGAGGCCTTCAAAAAGAAGACTTTTATACGTCTGAAAATATTACTAACATGATCACTAGAGGAATTGATAGTCATGCACCAAACAGTAGACATCTCATACAAAATGACAAATGAAGTAGTCAGGATTCAAGCAGCAAGATCAAGGTCCTCATTTACATTGAAAATCACCAGCAAGTGAACTATAAAGATGAAGAAGGAAGCACAAAACATCACCACCAAAAAGCCATCTTGGCTTTTGAGTGTGGAATCCAACATTGCCAATATGGCTAGTGCCATTGATTTTCCCATTTTAAGTGTGGCATCTAGTACAGTGAATATAGCCATTGCACAAAATTTACTCATAGATTTTCTTGTAAGCGATAGACTAAGAAAATATATTGTTAATATCATGCATAGTAGAATATCACATCTTTATTGATTAACTTTTATGCATACTAGGTTGGTTATCAAACTTGTTTGTTACCAAACTTGTTTGTTTTGTTATCTAACTTGTTCTATGTAAGATTTGGAAGAGAGTGAGAATTTCTTGGAGGAGAATGAAAATGTTTATGAACTTGACTTTGGGACACGTGACGTGTAAGTATTAATTTCTACTTAGTATTGCATGCCTGATTTATGCGGTTTCACACATGAAACAAAAAAAATCGAAGTTAACATCAATCATAAATGTTGTGTAGAAGTGAGTCTAAGGAAGCAAATAAGAAGTCACCTTAAATTTAAACCACATTTATCATGATTTTGTTTCGAACCTCTCGAATGTTTACCTTGCTGTTTAGAAGTCACCTAAAATTTAAACGAAATTATAAATCATCATAAATTTGTGTGCTTGTGAGTAATATATATTAAGTGATCTCTTACAAAATCATTAAAAGTGCATAAATAATTATTAAGAAACTAATAATTAATGTGCGTTGTGTCCATTTTTCATTACTTATTTTCATTCTTATCGGTAGATGAGAGATCCAAGTGTAAGCACCACGTCGGAAGTGCTTCCGATCTTTTTAGTGGATGCAGTTTTGAGGACAGTCTCCACCCTGAGACGTAGCTCGTCGAACCAGGGTGAACAAATTTTTTGTATTCTCTGATTAAAGTCTTGTGTTATTGGTTTTGTGGATTTTCCAAATCGAAGCTCCATAGATCTTTTGCTAACTGGGGCAGCATTGATATTTGTCATTGTTATGTCGTATGTGTTAAGAAGATCACCAGATTGATTTCATTGTTATGTCGTTCACCACATAACGCCTCAAGTGTCACACTGGTTGTCTCTCTGGTATGTTTCCACCTGGTTGTCTCTCATGTCGCAAGCCGCTTCCACTCGGTTGTTTATTCACATATTTTTCCCCATTGCAAATCTACCAAATCAAGCATTTGTAAAGAGATGGATCATATACTAAACTTGTTGGAATCACCAATGTTGCAAAGACGACAAAAACTGATTACTTCACTTTATCCAAAACGATTTGAACATTCCGTCTAATTTCAAAACGATTTATTTCACTTTATCCAAAACGATTTGAACATTCCGACTAATTTCAAAACGATTTACTTCACTTGTAAGTGCATTTTCAAGTCAAACTGTATTGAGACTCTAGAGAAAGGTAAGAAATTGACAGACAAATTTTTCACCTGTCGTCGATGGAGTATGTTCGACAGATTTGCCTCGTGAAGAAAATGGAAAAGCTAGAGAAAACACTTTCTAGTTTCCTAGGGCTCCCATTTTGACCAACATACTCACATATATTCCTCCTGTCCGAGGCAATTCTGATGCACCATAATTACAACTAGCTTTGGTTGTAACTAAATTATTGTAGTTTTAGTATGCAATCTTTATGTGAAATGATTGCTACAATCAGTTAAATATAATTCATCCATTTGTATAGATTATTGCGCATTAAATTATCAACTATATCATCATCAAGTATAGCTTTTGTTAGTTTAAAAAAAAAGTACTGCTTTTAAACAACAAGATCCGAGAATGAGCAATTGTCACGGTGAGACGTCTCCTGAAGGCTAAAAGGAACCATAAAATCATTTGATAGACAATTACATGCATATATACTTGTTTAGCCGTTTAGGAAATACAAGTATGCAACTATGGTTAGGATTTAGGTTAAAGGAAATATAATAAAAAAAAGTGTTATGAGCTCGTAAGTAAGTTTTGTTGAATAAAAAATCAAGTTTATTTTTTAGGGATCTATCGAAAAATAATAATGACTTTTAGCTAACAACAAATTTTCAGTCAATACATTAGCAAAACGACTGAACATGCACGCGTGACATCAATATATGTCCACCAAAACTCAATTTATGAATTTTCTGATGAAATTGCATACAAAAAAAAATATTATTTGAA